AAGAAGGGTCGATGGACAATGTGGCTGCCTATGCCAATGCTTCAAACCTTTTCGAGACATTGGCACCTTTGATCAGTTGATTAAGGTTCGGACACAAAAGGCATTGTTGGACAAACTTGACCAGGACAACTTTGCTTTGACCTTAGAGGGTTTCGAGTGTTTACTGCGGCTTGCGATTGCGGTTTGGCACCTGCAGGTAGGATTGAAGAGGCCTATATGACATCCCCAGAGTGGTTGACATTGTATTGGTCTAGTCTATTGGTTTGGGGTAGTTCTACCTCTATTGGTCTGCTTGTTTGCATCGTATTTGTGTTTGATCCTGGTGACTTGTTTCGCATCTTATTGCATGATGAGGTCTTCAACCTTCTGCAAAGGCAAGGAGAGACATGCAGGGGCACTCGGAGCCTCACACTTTTGGAACACCCAATTTGCAGCAAAGGCTTTATGCGCATCCTGTCTATAGGTAAACACAGGTTTGCCACCATCAGCTCGGCAGTTAGAAGTGGCCAATCTTGCCCGCCTATCGACCAAAGGTTTATGCCAAGAGCGCCGTTGCCCCAAACTCACAAGAGGTCTGTAGTCCATGATTTCCTCTATGGTCTTTATGAGCAGTGTGCCGAGAGCCTCCCTGACCTACACCACTCCAGCAGCAACAAGCGCCCGCGCCGTGGGGCGCTGAAGTTCGATGATAAAACCTTGGACAGAACAAAGTTGCGATTTTTGCCACCAGGCAAGATCATGGACTACCTGCGTTTGTGTCGGGCGGAGAACCCTGAAGTGAACATCTCATCTAAGCTGTTTGCATCCGTGGGGGTGCACAGTCTGAGAATTTCAGAAAGAATCATGGAATTGATTGTGTGATTGTTTGATCACTTGGTGTGACAATCCACTCACCCACCCTTAGGTGTGGATGAACGACTATGCAGATCGCCTGCGGATTCGCGCTTCCTCCCACCATGCACGCTGTTCAGTGTGCGTGAAGCATCAGCTCATCATCAAGCGCTTACCACGAGGACCGGGGAGGCTGGCGCAGGTGGCTCAATACAGGAACCACTTATCCCGACAATACAGGGATCGGCAACAGTATTGGGCTCATCGAGCCAAGTCTCGCACAGAGGCCGCCTCCGGTGCTCCAATCACCCATTGTTGCATCATCATCGACGGCATGGACCAAGCCAAACACTGCTATCCTAAAAGCATGGCCCTGAATTGTAAGGACTTCTCCAGCTGGAGCCGACCCCGTTTGCAGGCCACTACGGCCATATGTCATGGGCATGCTATCGTTGTTGGCTTAAGCCCTCAGAACACCAAATCGAGTGGGTCCCGGACCATCGAATTGATTGCCTATATGATGACCAAGCCTTTGAACTACATACATTGGTCAAATGTATTTGTTCATTTCGAGGCCGACAATTGCTCGAAGGAGTTGAAGCATCAAACGACCCTACGGCTCATGGGGACCCTGATAGCAACTCACAGGCTTCGAGGTTGTGAACTCAACTTCCTCAGTACTGGTCACACTCATGAAGACATCGATGGGCATTTCAGTCTGACATCTTCGTGGCTGGATAGGCACCCAGAACTCTGGTGTATCGACGACTTCAAGCAATGTTTGGAAAAGTTTCTAGCGAACCCATCAGTACGCGTTCATGAACCCAAAAGGGAAGTCCTTGTGTATGACCAGTTCCGTGATTGGACCCCTGGCAGGCCAAAGCTATTTCATTGGTTAGAAACTGTTAGATAATGTTATCTAAGTCTTCAAACCAAATGATATTTGATGGTTTCCTCATTGGTTTCTCCCCCAAGGAAAATGCACTATGCGCACCATTTGTCCAATGCCTTCCTCAAAGGCCTGGGAGGGCCCGGAGCCCCACATCTCATTCGCATGGAGCGGGTTCGAGATGCAGGAACCGGTGAGCGTTTTTGGTGGAACCTTCTCAGCTGGGACCCCAGCCTGAATAGGACTGCGGCATGAAGACCTGAACACGAAGTTCTGGCGAAGACGGCGAGTGGAGTTCGGCCCAAGCGATGTGATCTTGAGGTATGGGTTTGGCAAAACCTTTGGCAACTACTGTGCACTTTGTTTACATCTCATTGTTTACATCTCATTTGCATTTGAGACCTTCCAGGACCAAGAGATTTTTGTCCAGCCCTGACTATCAGCCACGTCAGTTTTTGTATCTACCTGCCTCAGCGGCCAGAGACATCGCCGCGGCTTCACCTCCTCCAGGCAGAGGGGGGGTTAACCGTGTCTCAATTTCTTTCACTCAATCAGTTATCTTAACTGCTGCCAGTCTATGAGCATGACTCTGTGAACACCCAGAGCGATGAGAGTAGGACATTGAGAAAGTACGCTGCGATCCTTCGTAGAAACCCTAGTCTGACATCAGTGACTGTAAACACACGCTATATACTACACTATATACTACATATTGAAATGTTCGCACACCTAAGGCCAACCCCCCTTCGATATGCACAGCGCAGCTAGATGCATTGATGACTTGGCCAACAATGTCCTGGGCCGCTACCCCCTCTTGGATGTTACAACGCCTGACAACCTAGATTGTTCCACTTAGTTCTGATGGAATCAACACTGTGCAGAAGCCACTCGGACGATGCCATGCTCTCAGGTGCATCCCCAACGGAGGCCTTGCCGTTGGCCCTGGGATTCGCTACCAACCTCCAGCGCGGGGGCAGAACTTGGAAGCTGTCCCTTGAATCAGATGAGATGTTTGTGTTTTTGAAACCACCATGAGACGTATGAGACAGCTTGTGTTCAAGCCCATTTTGGAGTTGAGGCTGAAAACCAATTGAACCTTATTGCGGAGAAGCCCGACAAAGCTGAGAGACAGAAGTATAGAAAAGCTAGAATGAATGCAGCACTGTACCGGGCTGCAGCCCTTCTATGGTCTAATGGGGTTGATATGGCAACAGCTATATCCGTGGTAGAATCAGCTATGAGAGATGCCGGTGAGGTTTGATCGTTTTAAACCTGGCCAGAACGAAAGCCACGACATGCAAAGTTAATGTAGCTAACTAGTTTCTGATTTTATGTGACTCACATGTACCGGTATTTCTTTGGCTTCGAATGTGGGTTTCCGTGGATGCAAGGTGCGTTTTCGAATATGTTGAATGCTGGTTGACCACCAAAGATATTTGTGTCCCCATCATTCTTTAGATGTTCTTACAATTTCTTAGATATGCCTTGCAATCCACCCGTCTCTGCAGAGCTCTGGGCCTCTGGCAATGCCGGAAGTTCAGTGAAGCCTGCCTTTTGGCAATGAAGGATCGGGGTCTGTGTGGGAATGAAGGGCAGCTGTTCAGGTGAACCAAACACACAAAACTAGAAGGTCATATTTTAAGTCGGAATGGAAAGCTACCTTTTCTGAAGTCAACTCTCGGCACAAACCTCACTCTCCAAACAACAACCTGGTTCGCGCTTGCGGACAATGTCATCCGGCACAATCCGAGTAGCCAAAATGAAAAACAACTTATCACACATTTATGGACTCCTGGGTTTGTGTGTGGGACCGGGTGTTTGTGCTTGATGACATTGACCACGAGCACAACTGGCGCTGTCTAGTCCCACATGAGTTTTGTGACTAGACAGGACCCAAGTTTGTGAAGTGTGGCAGGTGCCATCCGGCACAACCTTTCCTTGTGGTAGCTGGCATCCGGCACAAATTCACATCCACCCAGCAACATCCGGCACAAATAGGGGTTGAGTTAGATGGGATCCGGCACAAAACATGGGTTCGATTGGATGATCGATTCGATTGGATAACCACCGTGATCGACCCACCAGCACCCCCATTGCTGAGCAACCTCACGTGCCAGGCAGCTGGCTTTGGCATCCACGCCTTGATGGCGCCGAAGCGGAGAACTTCGGGGGATGGGGGCGGTGGCGGCAAGGCTTCAAAGGCTTCTGATCCTAAGTTGCCTTCTATCCCCGCTGACTCGGCCAGAATGAAACACATGAAGCTCTTCAACGAGTGGTTGACTTTCAGCTCAATATTGTCCAGTGATGTCCAGTGTGCATACTCGACAGTGAAACAGAATGGGTTTAGCCCTACATTCAAAATGCTTCAAACTTCAATCTCTTCAACTCAGGGATGCTGTTATCTCTGGCTGGGGAACCTTCGATGCATACCTGGCCAAGCGACTGGATTCCAAGGCCAGTTGCCATTCACATGTAGCTTTGGCCTGCCAAGCGTAGCTGCAGGACGATCGAATCGAGTTCTACAAGGCTATCGAGAAGCTCTTCCCACCAGATGAATCAGAGCCAAGCCCTCAATGAACAAAATCGTTGTTATTTGAGTGGTGCATAGTCAGTGGTGCCACAAAAGCAGAACTTAGGACCTACGCTACCGAGAAAGCCTTTGCGTCATCGGGGGCTCACGTTCTCCGAGGGTGGCATTTGCCCTTTCGCTCCGACTATGGACTCCGCGGGACAGCGGACGTGGCCGATGGGCTACAAATTGGGCTGTTTCATTGAGAACAAGATGGATATTTGTTTGGGGGGGTGGTAAGTTGTTGATATCTTGTCACTCAAGTTTGTTGATTCTTGTTGGATCATATTCTTTGCACATGCTCCCACAGTCTCGGGCACCGAGGAAGTTCAACGGTTGCTATCGCAATTGATGATGCTAAACGGGCTGGCAACACATCCAGATTTGCCGGGAACAGAGAAGCTAGTTGTGACAACCGTGGATGAAAAGTGGCTCAAAAGTCCCCGAGTCTTTGTGTCTCCAAAGGACTTTGATGCACCAAAAGGCCTGCTCCCTCCTGAGACTTGCTTCATGGTCAAAGGATGGAACAGGGGAGTCTGCGCACTGCTTTGCATGATGGCGGTCTGGGAATTGGAGACCCTGCGGGAGGCCAGGGAATGGAATGCAAAGTCAATTCAAATTCAATAGAAACCAATTGTTTGTAATGTCAGGCCTTACCAGATAACGTCCAAAAGCTCCCAGCTTAGCTTTTCTTAAGAGCATGAATGCCCAATGCACCCAACCACAATCTGTCCAAGGTCCTTTTCCAGCGTCTATTGCACAAAGGTTGCACCGGACTTGTCTGAGGCAATCAACACAAACCGAGGCCTTCTTTTTATTCACAATGTTTTGTATGCGAAGCGCACTGGATATCTCACTCGGATCATGTTCCGTATCAGGATGTCTCACACCCTTTGGGATATACACCTTGTTTGGGATGTCTCATTTGTTGCCATGCAGGTGTGACACTCACCACCTCTTCCATTCGACGGCGGCCAAACGCATTCAATCTTTTACATCAGTTGGAGGCAATGCAGCGAGGAGGGTTCGACAATGCTTTGCAGAACCTTGAGGCTCTTTCTTGTTTGCTCTTTCTCGTTTGCTCCTTTTTTCTTGTTTGTCCATGTTTGCCCAAATGCCCGCCCAGGCTTTGAACACCACTGCCTCATTCGCGGCTGCGTACCAAATTGGCCGCACGGAAGCTGGAGCGGCATCGAACCTTTTGACGGCAGTTTCGGAGAGCACCCGGGACCAGTTGAAGGAGCTAGTGAGGTGGGGCTTCAGCTTCACACCGTTTGAGTTCTCCCTTACTATGCGAGTTCTGGGCGTTTTGCCCTCATGTGACTCATGTGCATTCAACTTTCTTCCAGGCTCTTCGGTCAACCTCGATTTCTGCTGCACGATGGGATTGCAGCGGGCGTGTTTAACATGACCTACAACGGGGGCACCGGGGTCTTTCACCAGTGGCAAAAACAATTGCCCAATTCACAGGAGGTGGTCGATTTTTTGCTCCGAAGGATGCGACAGGACTTTGAGGTCTTGAACGTCAAAATGCGTAAGCCCTGGAATCAAGCATCGCTCGACTCTTTCCAAACATTGGTGGTTAGTTTGAGGTTGGGCCCGAAGACCCTTCATTAGACTGCACCTTCATGGCTTTTTTCGCAAAGGGTTTGTGTATGTTTGTGTGGGTATGAGGTGGGCTTCATAGCTTTCCCCAGGGGAAGGGCTGATGATTTGCAACCCTATCAGCTAAACATACACATGCCCTCTTGCCGGCCCAGGAACAGCTTCAGCGAGTGTGCGGTGGATTTCACGCATCACTTGCTCGGTTCAAGGAGCTTGTGCCGACCAAATACTATGACGAAGTGCGTGAGGAGATCTTAGCAACGCTTCTTTGTACTGCATATGCTCAACACAAGTTCTAGATTCTAGTCCAGCTTGCATTATGATATACTTTTATTCCAGCCACATAAGGTTCCTGAACCGCCACACCGATGCTGATATCTTGTCCATTCTTGTCCATTCCCCCGTTGGACATTGGGAAGATCGATGTCTTCAAAACCCACCTGGCCAAGTACCAGCAAAAGGCCCCACTTCATGTCAGAACTGTTTTGTTCCCTGCTGGCCCCACTTCATCGCCCTCATCTTGCCTTCCTGCCTTGAGGTGGACACTGACAAAGCAACGAAGGCTGCAGAGCCTCTTGGACAAAATCCGGCTGTGAGAAAGAACAACACACTGCGAAAGAACAACCTACATGTTTGACACTCTGTTTTCCAATCTGCTTCAACATGTTAATGAGCTTAATGAACATCACTGGAAACAAGGTTGCACGCAGCTTTGCTCCAAACAACATGGACGCAAACTGAGCTGGGCATTGAGACAGATTTGGCTAAATTGTCGCAGTGGGCTTCCGACTTTGGAGTCTTCGCGTCGCGGCAGGCATGCAATCAGCTTCGAACAATTGTCAGCGAAATCTCAAACATTTGAAATCACTTTGTCATCAATTGGTGGACCTGCATTCTTAGATTATTTTGGCAGGGTGGGCTGGATGTCCAATACCTGACATCCAGATATGATCGCGGCAAAGCGGCCGTGGCAAAATTCATGGATGACCGCCATGTGTTCAGCATCCACAAGAAAATCTCTCTTGCACAAGGGGAGATAGTGGAGAAACAGGCTGCCTTGGGGAGGTCAGCGTTTCTCGATTGAAATGTTATTCTTTTCGTAAGTTCCTGCAACACCTGATTGCCTTTCCATACGGTGTGTCTGCTGAGATTGACTGTGATGATTGTCGACTGCTCCCTTTGGCCTGGGCGACCCTTGGCTGACTGCTCATGGAAAATGCTTATTGCTCAACAAGGGGTCCAAATTTTCTCAACAAGGAACATGTTTTTGTTGGTTGAACTGGACTCCAAGGTGCCTTGTCTGTGGACGAGAGCCTTTCCCTCATTCAAGCAATTTGCGGTGGCAACAGCTCAACATTGGGCTTCGTGCTGATGCCGCAACCGCATTCCTCTGCAGCGCACACGGCTATTTTGGGGCACCGTCGGATGATTGAGAACACATGCATCGCGAAGCTTGAACGCAATGAGTGCGTACATGTGCATACACTGCGTGCTTTGTGAGAAATCTGTCGCTGTGAGCAGTTTAGAGTAGTTGTCAATAAAAGCACGCTCAAATTTCTTCTAGGTCCTTCGATGTGCAAGAGATCAGCATGATTTTCAAGGAGAGCGCACATGGGGGCGACCGGAGAAAGACCAACCAACAATGTTTCCAAGCCTTTATTCATAGTGTGCTCTGTTTCACTATGTTCCACTCTCATGTTCATAGTTTTGGCGATCATGTTTCACATGTTCCAGTGCTTGCTGCAGTGGTACTCTTTGAGGTTTGGCGATCACATCTGGATCTCACAAGCACATCGAGTGGAACAAGAGCCGCATCATGCTGGGCGCAATCACAGGCATCGAACGGGCAAGGGTCAATGAGCTGGCCAACCCGGAGGAGGACCGTCCCCTAGCGCCACACTGGCGCGTTCCTCGTTTAAAAAAGACATCTTCCATGGTTACAGTTACCACAGAATCAACATGAATCAAAATCAAAACATATCAAAACCCTTGAAGTCTTAAGGTGCAACAACGCGGAATATAGAGGCCTCCAAATCCATCGTCCTCAAGCTTCTAGATGGCCTGCAGCTGCCCGAGGGTGCTCCCATCTTGGTGGTGTATTGTATGCCGCACAGGCATCTTAACCTTGTTGGAGTGTGTGTGCACACTACCAATCATTGCAACCTTTAAGAACAAAACCAACTGCTTGAAAACATCCCAAACCATGTCGAGTCCAGGTTTGGCGAGTGGTCCCAAGCTTGCGCCCAAATCCAGCTGGGCGAACTTCTTGGAGAAAACAAGTCGGTGCGTATGCACTACATGGGCATCCTGTTGGCTGATGATGTTGGGACCATGAGTTCTTTGAAGTCAAGCGTAGCTGGCCAACTCATGACAAAGTGGTGGGATCAATCTCAGGAAGCCGGCCCGAAACGGAGATCGCGGACTTCCTTCTCCGACCCTGTCCCTGCACTGGAGGTCCTGACCATCACCAACAACCAATGCAAGAAACTTCGTACAAATTAGCTGACAGGTTTACCAGTTGTCTATTTTATCTTATATATGTGACCATGTTAAACTGTTCGATGGGCCGATGGGAATCATGCCTTTGTTTGTATGTTACTGGCTTGTCTTACCCAAGGATTCCGGACATGGTGAAGAACAAGTACATTGCCAGTCAAGCTGCTGCTTTGACCAAGTGGGAGGATGCTATCGGGAACGACAAGTCAATCAAACAAGCATTGCAGGGGATATCGGAGGAATCAACTTCCTCAGAACCATCAGGTTCTAGCGTTGTTCCAACCGAGTCTGCAAGAACACTGGCCAGCCCTGACTATACCGGTGCTGTTGATGTCCCCAACTTTGGCACCAGGGTGAATTTGGAGAAGAAGCCCATGGATGAGTTCAGTTCTGGTCGAACGACCCTTTCATCACATGTCAAGCAATGGTTTGTTTGTTGATTGGTTTTGCTTCCCTTTAGAAAAATGGTGTCCAACAAGATTCCAACAATTAAATGAGTGCTCTTTAGTTTGACACTCAGGATTCACTGCCAAGCGCAACTTGCGAACTCCGACTTGAACATCGTGAAAGATAAGAATGATGGGTCTTTGTGGATCACCAATGCCACTGGAAGCGCCGCAGAACTGAAAGCCCGAGAGCTCTTCGGATTCAATGTTGGATCTTTTGCTGAGGTGGTGGCAGGACCTATGCAGTCAGTCAATCATAGCAAACATAAACAAACAGAAGGGATTGGTGGTTCAAGGCATTATTTTATAATACTATATATTAATTTTGAGACACAGTGACCCTGGAGCTTGCCATGGATTGAAAATAGGTTTATTTTCTGAAAAAAAATATGAATCTGATGAATTCCTGAAATATGAAATGAGAAAACCCAATTTTAGCGAATATAAAAAAATATGAAAATAATGTAACTAGAAAAAGACAGGATCCCCTCAAGGAACATTTCAGGAATTCTTCAAATCCACCATTTTTCAATCTTTGGCAAGCTCCAGGCTGATTTTCATATTTTTTCATATTATTTTCATATTTTTTTGATTTTTTTTGCATTTGTTTGTGTATTCTGTCCACTTTTTTCTATATTATTTTCATATTAAAAAAAGCGACCATATTTTTTCATATTTTCAGAATCATATTTTTTCATATTTTTTCAGAAAAAAACCTAAAGCCAAGAATCCCTATCCTCCAGGGATACGTATGTCTCAATATTAATTGTAGTCAGTTGTAACTGTACTTACACCCACCAACACCCAGACTCAGAACCGGCTCCACCTAACTCCGGCAAGCCATGCAGGAGATGCAGCCTCCGTGGTGGATTCGATCCCGTGGTTGGTCACCTCGGACTTGCACGTGGTTTCTCTGGTGTCGTCGGCTGGAGATGGGACCCAAACAAAGGAGTTGATGACCATTGCCGATCTTTGCTGCTGGATAACACGCACACGCGGGGCTACAGAGGCAGTCATGCTGGATCACGACATGGCACCCCTCACTGAGGATCTGTTTGGCTTTAAACAATGTTCCAATACTCCCACGTTTGAAGAGACCAAAAGAGACCAAAATCGAAGAGACCACAGGGCAATAGATTCTTCGAGACACCTTGACAGGATGGACCATCTGGCCCTACCCCAAAGACATTCCGATACACTATCACACCGCGGCCAAAAGTCAATTGCTTCAAGCCGAAGAAGCTGGAGGATGATCCACCTACGTCTCGGTACTCCCAGTTTGGTGCCATCTTCAACAACTTCAAGCAGTTGCCCGCATCTTCAAGTTTTGGCATCGTCTGAGAGGCACCTATTGGGCAAATGGGCAAACAAGTAAGTGTCAAACGATGTTCAAAACTTGATCAACATCCTAATTTTCCTTCCTTGAAGGTCAAGGTGGCCGATGGTGTTCCCGCTGTGATCACACCTCTGAAGCCTAAATACTATTTGAAGGGTATTACCACTGTGCCAGCCAAAACGGCTGTGAAACTGTGAGTTGTGGGGCAGGCATTACAAGCCTGATCATGATGGCGCTCAGCTTTTTGCAGGGGGGATTTGTGTGCCTCCAAGCCATTCGACAAATGCTAACATGTTACCCAGAATGTAAACTTGGACTGCTGTGTCTCCAACTCAAAAACCGCCCCATGAGTTTATGCACATGTCTTGTTTGAACATGGTATCACCAAAAACATTGGAAGAGGCGACATGAGGCTACACTACTTTGTGCTGGGCCGCCAACCATGAGGCTTTCGATGGAAACACCTGCGCATGAGCGACTCATCGAAGTTGCTGTCGGATCGTTTCGCCAAGGTTGATTCAGTGTTTGCTTTGCTTTTTAAACAATAACTGAAATCAGTCTGACTGGTTACATCATATTAAGCATTTTCCAAAATCAAGATACAGTCTGGTACTAGTGTGCGTGCCATGGCTTTAGCTGCAGTGGATACCTTGTCAGATGATGGTCTAGCAGAACCACTTCCTACTCCCACTGCGGGAGGGAAGGATGAATCTCCTTCCAAGGGGGGAGGGCGAGGCCAAGCCAAGAGCAAGGCCAAATCGAAACCCAAGGCTAAGCCCAACCCCAATGTGGACCCAGAGTCAGAGTCTTCGAAGCCAACTCCCAAACCAAAACCGAAAGCTAAATCGGCAGAAAAAGAGAAAGCAAAGAAAGCTGAGGGAAAAAAGACGCAGTGCTTGAAACGCCCAGCTGCTGCCTCTTCGACTGAAGAGAAGCCGCCCATGAAGCGGCCGGCGAGCAGTGAAGAGAAACCCGAGAAAATTTGTACGTCCAAAGGCATGTACAAAAATGGTACATGGGGAATCAAGCTGTTTCAAAAGGAAGTCATCCGTGTAACTTGGTACAAAAGTGTTTGCGTGTGTTTGCAATGGTCTTTCCTGCCAATGTGTTTTAGCTGTGCGGTGACTTGATATCAAACGAACGAAACCACCAAAACCACATCTTCAGGTAAAGCCCCATCCCTTTGTCACTGCCGAAGACTTGGCCACCATTGCAGTTTCCTGGATCGAGTGGCAGTGTCTAATAGTTTGTTTGAAGGGCTCACCCTCACCCAGGAGTTCAAATAAATAAATAAATTTTGATAAGTTCAAATAAATTTTGTGAAGCCTCAACAAGGCCAAGGGTTTGTGAAGTTCATCAGCTCTGGATTCAACTGAGGCTGCTGTCAGGGATGAATTGATCCGGACCAGGGGGGATGTGGCTGCGTCTAAAGCTTTGCATGATTCCTGAATGCATTTAGTTTCCGGCACCGTGGATCCGCCAATCACTGTTTCACTCTTTCAGAGGTTTGTCTACGGGAACAAGGTTTGGTATCCAGCGTCCAGCATCCGTCTCTTTGGGTGTTTAATTGAAGTCTCCAAAATTTTGATTCCCAGGAATCGATGCTGGAGGCTGCCAAGAAGAAGACGGCTCCACCACCGCCCACAGAGGCACCGGCTGCGAAGGAAGAGGCCTGCGAAGCGGATGATGCACAGGAATGCGGCGAGGAAGAGGCTGCAGAGGAAGATGCCGTGGAGGCTTGGGCTGGGTTGGGGGTCAGAGAACATGCAACAACAGCAACTCCACTTGGCGCTTCACTGGTCTTGATTTTCGATTCTTGTGAACTGCAGGACATCGATTGATCATGATTGATCAGTGACACCCGGGCCTCTCCAACACTGCGTTGGACCGTTGGCATTTCACCTGAGCCAGCCACCAGAAGTTTCGAGACTCAGACCTCAAGTTCCACCTTAAGGTAACCTGACACACCTCAAATTCCACCTGATTTTAAGGACACCTAGACTTAGACCTATTTCGGAAGCAGAGTGGCTGGATCAGCTAGACTCGTGAGAGCTTTCAACCTCGCAGAACACTTGATGGCCAGCTTTGATACCATATCTCGTAACTAAGTGTGGATACATGTATACGTTCTACTTCAATCTAAGCTCTTTGATTGCAGGCCCAACTGGCATGCGCAAACCACTTGGTGCTTCCAAAAAAGACGTGTGTGCAAACAATTGGTTTTACCAACCGTGCCACTGGTGTGAATAGCGAGGGTGTGAGTGGTGGCAGACAATTTTTCGGAAAACGGCAGACTTTCAAGCGCTCTAACTTCGTTCCCTCCAGCTTCGCTTCAAGCACTCCTCTTGAGTTGTTCTCTCCAACTTCGTTGGAACTGCGGGCCGAGGCTGGAAACCAGCCCGTGAGCAGGCCAGTTGGGGTCCACACAGAGGGTCCACGCAGAGTCTCAGAGAGCATCCACATATGTGGTGGAAGCATCGATTGTGAATATGTAAATATAGTTTTTTGTATGTATAATTTTGATAATTACTATGTACCACATATATATCATATATGATGGCCGGCATTGGTATGATGTGAGACACAGCGTTCAAAGAACAGGGCCTTTCCCGACTATGAGCCATTTGGATCCCATGTTTTTGCTCATTTGGAAGCCTGAACCACCAACTTTCCCAATGACTTCTACCCAATGAGCCAACATCCTCACCACTTCTTCCACACACATAACCCCAGGCAACCCCATCGTGCCCATTCTTGGCAGCCCGGCTGGAGGCCATCTTCTTGGCCATCACGGGTTGGCACCGCGTTGGCCGGCCGGCGAGGGGGTGAGACCCAAATTTTAATTTGGAAGGGACCTTTAAATTAAAAAACTTTCTGTACCGAGTGAAATTGAGGATACCCTCCTAGTGTGCGGAAGTTTCAAATATATATAACACCATAGATGATTATAGACAAGGAAGTTTCACAGGAAGTTTCAAAATTCAAAAACTATAGGAAGTGGCTCAAGTGACCAAGTGTCAAGTTTTTTGACGTTGTTGTTTCACTGATAACACTATATTCCAGCAGGCTCCGGCGGCTGCACTTCAAGTCAAAACCCTGGTTGCATAGCAAAACCCCGGATACAAGGATCCGAGACTACAAGCGTTCATGAACATCCTCAAGGCCCTTGTGAATGCCATAGGCATGGTGAAGAACGATGAGAAGTCCCTGAACATGATGGACGATGACAGTGAAGAAGGCCCAAAGATTGAAAAAACAGAGAATTCTGCCCAAACCATTGAGCAGTTTCAGAAGTTGGTCCCAACAAGGCTTCGTGAAGAAAACACAAAGTTGAAGAATGATATGAAAGACCACATCGCAACGAATGCCCTCCTTCAACACCGGATCAACTACCTAGAGGCTGAGATCAAAAGACAAGATGATCGACTTGAAGAGTATGAAGTCGATCTGAGAGACTCAAGAAGAGACTCAAGAGTTGCCCGAGCTGAACAACAAAGAGTCCTTCAAGCTCTTCAGCAGTTGGAAGGCCAGCGCCATGTCCACAGGATCCAGAATTGCCGAGAGACTCCAATTCCAAGAGAGATCTTCCTTTCAGCGCATGGATCGAAGTTCCATGTGGATCCTCAGTGCCCGACGCTGCGCAACGCCGCAGGTCGAACGATGATGGAACGCTGTAAAGCCTGCGAAAAGCAGGTGGCAAAAGACCGACGGTGAAAACTTGACCTAAGGTCAAAAACCTTTCACTTTTCCACCAGTGTGAATTTGTAAGCAATAGAAGTGATTTGATGCCATGACATGACGGCTGCGCTTTCCAGTTCGCACTCGCAGCTCCTTTACAGAGCTCTTGCGCCACCACAGGTGGTTACTCGCTCATGACCAGCAGAGAAAAGGTCCCCCTTGGTCTGCAGACGGAAACCTCGAGCGTTCCGCGTCGACGGTGAACTTGGTTTTCCTCCTTTCTTGTTCTCCGTGTTTTCACACTACTAGTAACAAGGTGCATCGCTACAAGTAGCTAAGTGCATTACTACTAGTAACAAGAAGCT